CTTACACAACTATCATAGTTGACTGAAAGACCAGCCACGTACTGTGGTGTTTTTACGTGGGCCTCACTAAGAAGCAGATAATAGCCCGTCGAAAATGCTCCGTAGGTACCGTATACCGTGACGGTCATTTACCCAACCCATCAGGGTGCGGCTCCCATCTCGGAGAACATGCATCCCAAAAAACCTCTTGAATCGTCTCTATTCCTAGTGCATCCTCGACTACGCCAACACTGCATAATATGTCAACACTCGAACGGTTCTTATCCAGAAATATTTAACTACTTATATATAGAAGGATGAACGTGAAGGACATGTCAGAGAAAAGCAGGCGACAGACTCGGACAGCTTGAAGGTGAAGCAGGGTGAAGCAGTGGTGAAGCAGGGTGAAGCTCGAGCGTGACGAGGTAGGATGAGGTCACATCAGTGATTCTCACAGACAGGCGCCGATGTAAGCGCCACAAAAACTCGACGTGCAAATTCGGATAGCTATGCAAACGGCAGTAATGATGGAATGGGAAGGTTAATGATGGAATGGGAAGGTTAATGATGGAATGGGAAGGTGAGCGGATGGCGAGTAGAGACGAACTCGAACCCTGAACTTTCTTCGAGGCTCAAAAGCGCCGAGACCCGGCTCTGCTGCATGCAGAGGGAATCTAAAGAATTGTTAAAGATCGTCAACAAGTGGGCGCGCGATTAGCGCTGGTCGAGAGCGAAGCGCACGACGCGCATGACGTCGTCCTAAGCGGCCGAGTGAGGATCCAGATCGAGACGAGGGACAAACGAGGGAGAGGTTGGGAGAGGTGAGGGTACAATAGAGGAAAGTTTGACGGCGGAAAAGAGTGTGATGAGGACGACTAGACAGTCGAGGACGATGGTGGCGAGAGGAAGGGTCCGTTAAGCGCCGGTCGATTATCAAAAGCACGAGGCGTTCGACCACAAGCTTTCAAGCGCCGAAGGAGGAACGGACGGAACGAAGTTGATCTGTTCAAACTGTAACCTACTGTAATGGGCAGGTCTACTTACGGAAAGGAGACAGATAGGAGGACAGAGTCTGGAGTGGCGACGAGTGGTGGCGAGAACGAGAACTGTCCAAAGTGATCGAGTGTGGCGAGGTTATGGTTGTGGCACGGGCCATGACCAAGACATGGTAAAGGAACAGGCAGGGTTCAAAAACCTACGGGGCATATGCGTCACGAGCACTGCCCACGCCGTATGAGTAAGCTCTCCTCATGAAGAGCTTTAAGCTCTGCATTCTTACCCAAACACTGAGCATTTACTTGGTGGGAGCTGTGAATATCGATGTTAGTACCGGAGAAATGCTACATAGGTTCTCAATCACGGAAATATGAGGTCACGGAGCAGCATATCGACTGCATCTGATTACTCCGGACAGCTCCGAACGCTTCCAACTCGTCGCTGGATGCGAGTTCCTCTCAAGTAGGAGAATTGGAATGTTGTTCAATGATATTGCTATCGCTTGTATTGTATACCCGGGCACAAGTCACTAAACATCGACTTCGAACTGCATATCTGAGTGGGCATCAAACCAAGCGTCGGCCTCTTCGTACGTTGCGAAGCCTTTGAATACGGCACCTTCCTCGATATCTGTGATGCGGTCTGCAATCATATCCCTAGATGCAAAAAGATGGTCATCAAGGAGAATGCAGAACACATATACGTAGTTGACGTACCAAGGTCCTCGATGCACCCCGATCCCCCTTCCTCGAACTATAGCAAACCAGGAAAAGCCGCCTTGGATAATACTTTCGATAGCCTCGAGAAGAGAGACCACGTAACGCTCACGCTGCCACGGAGATGGAAATACCAAACGGCGATGGAACAAGGCAGGAATCTACAGCAATGCTCAATGAAGAAAACATTGCACAGAGTCGAGAGAAGGAAGCGTACCGCAGTCTCTACGGCTAGCTGGAGATGATACTGTACTTCACGACTCACATTTACATTGTCCCGCCCCAGGCGAAAAATGGCATCTATGTCACGATCATCGAGAGTTCCATGAGGGATATTGCCAGAAGGAGATGGCGTCGCAACAACGGAACTTTGGCGCGAACCACCGGCGAGAGAGGCAGGCGTAGGGACGTTGATGCTGGGTGTGCGATGACTGGCGATACCAACAGCGCCTGCTCTAACCTGGACGGCAGGCCTATCTATAGTCACTGTCTGGTTGGGCGGAATAGATGGCATGTCGGAAACAGAAGACAATGTTTCCGACATGTCAGACCACTCGGTGACGCTCGTCGATTCCAACGTGGGCATAACGAACATGCCCCGCGAGGCCGACGAAGCCTCCATCGTCCAGCGTCTGGATGTGAGTGGGATCGTAGAGAGTTCAGCAGTCGGCGAACGGTAGAGATTGGATCCGAACATACTCATCGGTTAACATTTCCCCACCCTGCCTCTTCTGGTCTGCATTAGCCTCAAATACGCTCTCGTTCTCCTCCTCCTGATCCTCGGATTGGTGCTCTGGCTTTCGCTGCGGGTTCGGTACTTGGTGGGCTTGTAGGAGAGCCTCACTTTTTCGCTTCTTCTCGTACAGCAGTTGAGCACGCGGGCCAACGTATGTTGTCCACTCCTCGATCTGGCGCAGGGCATCGTCCCTCGACCGGAATGATGGGTTCTGAGCTAAACTCAAGCCCTCTACTGACCTCTTGGCAACGACTCTAGATGCTCGTTATCATCACTGCCGGAACGCCGAGGTAATCCGAAAACTTACGGGTCCGTTGTAACAAAACAGCCCTTTGGGGAACAGACAGCGTAGTGCCACGCCTGCGGTTCCATGGGTACGTAGACACCACCTAGTGCCGCAGAATATATCACGGGAATCGAACATTTTCGAAGACTATTCAACTCACCAGACATGGTCTACAACGGGGTTTGCTAGTGGAAGGAGGCCTGGGTGTGAGGTCAAGTTCTCGACCTGTAAGTACGAATTGTCTAACCTTATATAAGGGGAGTCGGGTGCTGGACGCATACGAGCATGAGGTCTTATCGCGCATGAGATACCGAACAATGGCTAAACTGTGAGCCTACGAGAGTATCGTGATAACTCGTATGTACTTATGACTAGTGTGGCACTGTGTATGTGCGGACTTCACCAAAATGTGGCATAAAGATCAGACGAATATTGTAGCAGGAAGAAGAGCCAACTTTCTCCTGCACATCCCAGAAGATCTATTTGATGCTGAGATCGTCAGGAGGTTTGAGGTGGGTCAGCACCGAGCATGGGGCGTCGATGATCTTGACCTGTTTATACCCCGCTATACTGCGGACATATGGGCGCCTCAGATTACGAAACTGGCAAAACAGGAGTGATGGTCCTTATAGTGGTGAATGTGTATACCGGGAAATCCAGCAGTACGAGCTTTTAGGGAGAACGGAAATAGCAGGCCGGGCCGCAGGCTGCTACAGATCTCACAACTCGCCGTCTGTACATCAGGAAAAACCTGGCGGCCAGGCAAGCGCTTGTCAGCGAATGTGGCGGCACGACCGGCGGTAGCCGATTGTATTTGAACGACACTCGGACTCCAATTGAGCTGCAATCGCTCCATTGCTTGCACTCTACTTGCAGTCAGTTCGACAGTTGCAATCTGCTTCTCGGCTTACTGGAGCTGCCTTCCCTGTCCTGTCTTGGATACTATATGCATGTCTCTCGAGACTGTACGATCGACTATCAGTAGTTTCTTCTCCCAATCTTGTGATTTCGTCTAGCAGCGCGAGCGTGCGACGGACCACGATGAGTTCACGCATTTATGCATATTTATGGCTCAACGAGTTTCGCCTGCTTTTGATTTGGGAAAGGTCTCGTCAGATGTCATCGCCGCCATGTTCACACAAGAGCGGTACGCATTTGACATACGGTAAGTCGTTCGTGAGCTGACGCGAAGTTCGGGAAGCGACAAGAAAAGCATGATGTCGAACATAAATGATTGTTGTGGGTTTGATGCGGCCCAGTCGTATCATCTAATCTATTCTCAGAGCATTGACGTGCGGTGACGCGTTTCGCCCGCACGTGATGTTGTTTATCCATAGGGTTGTGGAAAAAACTCGCTCAGAGTTTCTTCCCAGTAGCTTACCGAACCCCCCTCGAGGATGTCAGTAAGTTACTGGTAATTTACTGCATTGTCACGTGCTTGCCACAAATCAGGTTTTGCCTCTCTCCTGTCAAAAATTTCGATTCAATTTTGATTTCTCTTCGTTGAATCACTTTTTCGGTGCCGCAATTTGTAGGGCCTTACCTACATCCATCTCCTTGAATCTAATTTTCTGACAGGAGAGAGATTGCCTTCATAGAACGGCTGTAAGTGCGCACTGTGGCATTGCTGTGGCACCTAAAAGGTGCCTACACGTGACCACGAGCCAGTAAGAAACTCAACCTCTTCGGAGGGGTCAGTAACTTACCAGTAAATTACTGGTAAGTTACTGGGAAAAAACTGTTTTAGAAAAAAACTCGAGTTTTTTCCACAACCCTATTTATCCACCATAAACCCACATAAACCAAGCTCGTTGAGCGCTACAGCCATGCCTCTTCTTCCCTACCCTTCATCATCACCTCTCCCCTTCGCCCCCCGACTCCTGCCTCAAGCAGCACCGCTGCGTAATCACCACCTTTGACCATGCCCGAAGTGCACCCCCGCGGTTCGCATTCCGAGCTTACATGACTGTCGTTGACCAGCAGTTGGGTCCTGGTCATGCTGACTCAAGCACCCCCGTCCGTTGTCCAGCCGAGCATACCAGAGGGAGGCCAGCCTGTTCAGCTCAAGCCAGGTACGCTGTCTGTTCGTCGCCTTTCCCCCTCCCCTCCTTCCTCATCATTAGGACCGCCAACGTCTCCAGCTCCATCGGCCTTTGATCGGCCTCGTCGACACATCCGTTGTTTTTCTAGTTATCAAGCACTGATGTTGTGCTGTCCTTCTAGATCCGGTATGGCAGCACCAAATGATGTTCGCTTCTCCATGTTGAGTATCTCTCGAATATCTGACCACAGCTATGCTGATGCCTTCCTATTCGCACAACGTTGTAGACCCCTCTCCGCTCCAGGGAGCATTGTCCGTCTGTTTCCGACTAGGTACGCAGTCTCTTTGTCTCCTTCTTTCCCTTTGTCATTATGACTGACGACATCGCCGGTTCCATAGGCTTCCTTGATGTGTTCGCTGTTTTCGACGATGCCAGTCTCGTGGTCAGTACTGACATTTCCTTTGTTCAAGTACTACGCTCAAATCGTCCTTCCGGTCTAGATTGGGTTCAACGGTACCGAAAGATGCTAGCTTTATCAGGGTGAGTGTTTCTCAAGTTTGACCATGGCTCCACTGGTAAGTATTCACTCAGGTTGTGTTGCAGAATGTAGGTAGGAGACTGCCCTAAGTCGTATGTACTGTGGAGCTATTTGCTGTTTGGGGCTTTCGTTTTGCTTGTACATGACCATGGTTTGACAATTGTAGCGGATTCAATGTATTAGTGCAGTGTTTGTCAATTCAATTTATTGGTTGTCGCTCTCTATCATCCGTTCCGAGCTCGAAAGAGGACCAAAAATGGATCCAGAAAATAAACACAATTGCCCTATTTATAGTTTGGCAACATAAATTGGTATCCAGGAGGGCCGGTATGCAAGTGATTACAAGTTCTCAGAGGAGTCCAACTAACTTCCAATACCAATCTGTATGGCGACGGTTGTAGACCGATTGCAACTGAACGGCTCGATTGCGAGGTGATTGGACACAGCATCGCTTCCCTATAAGGACATGTGATCAATTGCTGCACTGTCCAATCTGTCTATGGCAATTCCCTTCGTGTACAATTGGCATGCCTTGCGGGAGGGTTTTTCCTGATGTTGTTCAAAGGGTGATTGTGACGACTGACGAACCTTCAAAAACCAGTCTTGTCGAGTTAGGATTGTGGCCATCCAATTCTCAGCACCAAACTTCAGTGGTAAACAACTGGTAAAGCTTGGGTATTAGTGCATTCGACGGCCGACGAGTCTCGGATTTATTATAAGTAATACTAGCATGTGCCCGTGCGGTGTCCGCAGTGACGCCGCCGGCTGCTTCACAATATTTTGATAAATAACAAAATGTCTGTGTGTGATAATTTTACGCTACCACAAACCATGCCCCAAGGTTTTTGGCTCCTGTGCTCAAAATGCACAGTTGATTTATGCACCAGGAGATGTTAAGCAGTTTGGCCCGAAGGTATTTTCATGGTTTGGCCCCCGTGCACCGTTGGCAGAAATGCATTTGGCTCTGGTGCTCGAAGCTGTTTGACTCCCTTGGCCGAAGGATTTTGTCCTCATATCCAGGGATGGTTGGCTCCCCGTCTTTCATCTGAAATATGTGCAGAAATTGAAGTTATTTTGAGGCCCGAGCCTTGGAGCCACACTGGAGGCACAGCGATGTTCGCCACACAGTTATTTGTTTGGACATATACCACCACGTTTTCGCCACGTGGTTTGTCTCGAGACAACTGCCTCCACATTAGGTGTTAGATGGTCCCACGCCGCGGCGGTTGCCGCCATGCTTAGAACTCCAATTTGCGCGACCGCGTATGTTCGTCTGACTATAGATTCCTTTCACTGTCCTGTGCCTGCTCTTGCTCTCCTTACTCTGTCTTTCAACTTACAATATCTCAGCATGCCTCGAAAAGCTAATACTGCTCAAGCCTGGAATGCGAAAGTCGTCGATCTTGACAAATCTCTTAAGGAAGAAATAGAGCGCGCTCGCAGCGATGTTGAGCACCCCAATCTCCGTCGACGCATGGCCACTCTCCAGGATATTCCGATGTCGACGTCCTGTATGTCGTCTAATACGTCGCTCACTGATTGGCTGAAACAGTGCATCAATTCGCCGCCACCCAGTCCGTCCTCGACGGTTTCGGCCGTCACCTACAGAGGTGCATCCATTCCGGACCCACTGCGACCGTCCGACGTGAGTGCTATTCGGATCTCAGAGATAGCACTCGCTTCATTTTTTTCTTCTCCATAGCGTCAACTGGATGGTGAATTCACGCTTCTCAAGGTTCTATGGTTTTGTCAGCCTTTGACATATGGCATTTGTTGATACGTCTTTGTCAGGCTCTGGCTGCCAGGATTGACGACTGGGACACGCATGGGCTCTTCGACGCCGATGGTAGCAAAAGCGTTATGTGGCTTATTCTTGGCCTCGGAATTAGCCCTGGTCATGTCACCGATTCCCAAACTGTCTGCCGAAAGGCCTCTGGACAGTCGTTCCACCGAATGGCTCGCGTATTCTGGGTGCACATGGTGTTTGACATGCTTGCCTCTCAATGTGGATTAGAATGTGACACGCCCAAAATGTGTCTTCCCAATATTTCGCATGTCAGCGCTCTAGAGAAAGACAAAGAAGGAGTCAAACCAGTGAGTGTAAACATTTCAGCCCCTGCTATTGTATCTGATATTGCCCTAACCGTATCGCAGCTACTTTTATGGTTGACGAACTGGACCACCAACCTCAATAAGCTCTTTTCAGAGCCTCCCAAATGCTCAACGTCTGTCCGAACACAACGGATAACGGACCCGAGGTCAAATCCACTGCACGAAGGAACACAAGTAGGAATCGGGGAGCCCGACGCAGCGGACTCCTGTACAGAAGTGGCGACACCGGAACGAGGCACCATCTCTATTTCGAACTCGCGACTTATTGGCGAGGCGGGTGCGCAAAGCAGCACCGCCCTTCTCCTGCGGCACATGCCTGTAGATGTTTCAGCCTCTGCTGCCGTCGCGATGGCCCTGCTCGAAGGAATGCAGCAGCGCGATAAGAACATGCGCTATTCTCATGTCGTCAATAATCTTTCGATGGCTGGCGCTGTCCTCTCCATGCTTGTAAACGTAAGTCATGCGCGCCTTCTATAGACTGTCTTATGCTCATACATATCTGGTAGTCCGAAATAACGTGTGAGAGTGCCGTGAACTTCAAAGGCAGTCTTGTGACGTGAGTGTTCGTCGCGATATCTCTATAGACCGCAGAGTCAGCTTATATCTTGACTTCCCAGACGAGGTCTTGCGGTACTGACCGGTCTTCCTGTCGACCATGCGGCCAGTTTAGCCATGGAAGATCGCACTTCTGATGAATTTCTCCAACCTTTTCTGCTCGCCCTCCATGTCTCGCCGCTCCTGTTACTTTCAGGTCCCTCGTCGTCTTCTCGCAATCGAACGGCCTGGATAACTATGTTCGCTGTATGGGCATTTTGCTTTGTCCTTTGTCTTTGCTCATAATATATCGCCCCTTTCAGCTTCGGGTTGCTTTAGGCAATACGGGTCGACCTGATGCAATCCAGGTTATGGAGCAAGAGGTTTGGCGCGCCGTGATAAAGGTCTCCGTCGGCGTTCGGCCTGAGGATGCATTATTTGACCTTCATGTATGTTGGCAGTCAAGGCAGAATGTCGTCCATAATGCGGACGCGAAGTGGTTCCGGACATTGACTGGTAAACCGTTCAGACCTATCTCTATTCATACTCACCATCTGATCTCGAACGCTGCAGTGCCAAGGGAACATATAATAGAGCCAACATCTCTGTTTTCGTCTTATGCTACGGAATCAGATGATATACTTCGTCCCTCGTCTTCCGAGTGGGATACGCACGGCGAGGTCCCGATCGACGTACCAGCCATCCCCAATGTTTCCGACAACTTCAATACTCTCACTTCAAACCTTGTAGCGCCGCTTGCGAACCACATAGGCGCATCCTCTGGTCAGGCCAACCACTGCGTGGAATATGCGGGAGGTTCCTCTCCTCATAACTCTATCGGAGGCACGGGCAGCGCTGGTACACCGGCGGTTTGTCCCAGTTATGATCCTATCATTATGACGGAAGTCCAATCGTCCTTGAACGGCATCGCCGCTCAAGACACAGTAACCAGGTATATCTCGACTCCTGAGACGATCATGAATCAATCATCACTTCCATGTACGTAGATTCTTACCTCCTTGTCCTCGTCTCCTGTTTCTCTACCTCTGGATCTGGGGATCTCGACGTCTCTACATGATCCTACTGATCACTTCGTCCTCGCATTTGTCTTGAAGGTCCATCACGTCTCCCAGTTCACCCAACGCCCTCTATTCTCTCAGCTGTGGTCCAACGGAGCTTTGATCCCGAGGTTATGTTGGGCAGAGAAGCGATTGATGTACCCTCCGTCTCAGGTAAGTAGCACTATATCTTCTCGATCATGCCTTACTTACTATCGCTGTTCTCTTCTCCAAACATAGCCGGATTCAAATCCACTTCCAGTGTTGCCGGGGCGCGTGTACCCTCCCAAGGTGTCAGAGAAATCCGCTACATTCTAGATGGCCCTGTAGAACACACTACATCTTCCCTAGGGGTCTCACGCGCGCGGTCGCCGCCGTTCCCCCGTCCAAGTATGTTTCCCTGCCAATTTAGGTTGTTCTCGGAGTCTCACCGCGACCGGGACAGACCTTCAAGTTTCGCCTCGATGCAACCATATTGGGACTCCGCAATGTCCAAACAGTAGGTCTTTTCCAGCGCGTTTCGCATGCATCGACAGTATCTTATTGATCTCGTCGATGGTGCTTCAACTACGGCTTAGCGCATCATCCAAAACCAGCGACAACCAACGGAGGAGTTACCTTGCATAATGAAGAGTATCTTGCAGGACCATTCCTGGCAGAGTTGCAGGAAACACAACATACCTCTAGTCTCTCGTCATCTAATGGTACGACCCGTCACCGGATTACTTTTTTATTGTCTAATATTTCCGCACCAGAGCAAAACGTTTCCAAACAACCTAGATCAAGTAACCCTCCCCAACTCTACGGCACGCAGACACGAAGTCGCAAGGCGTGGAAGATGCCATCTGTCCATGAGCGGCATATACATTTGGGCCAGGCAATTCCGGTGCAATCCCGAAAGCGCCCGAATTCTGTGAGTGACATCAGTGGACATTGACTTAGTGTTCGCTGACCATGCCATTCCTTCGCTTAGTCGCCCAACAGCTCGTTAATTAAGCGATCAGTACGTGCATTCCGATTCTTTTTTTTCGCAACTGAATTTACATATTCGCAGCGCATCGACCCCGTGATCAACGCCCCCATGAACATCGACGAACAAGTAGACGCCACTCCTAGCCTGGAGACAGACGAAGAGAACGAGGTCGGGGTCAAGAGTAATTCCCATAGCATAGCTCACGTGCAGTCCGTCGCACCTCCCTCTAGGCAATATTTTCGCTTCGAGGTGAGCACCGGAGAGAGAAGTGTGGTATCTTTCAGTCCTCATAGAAACACTGTACGTTCATCCATTTATGGCTCATCTGCACACTGACCACACTGACCAATGCAAGCACAGTGGATACCCGAGTTACATATTTTCGACGATCTGTGGCGAGCCATAACCGACCCTAATCGAGGTTCTATCCTCTCGTGGGAAGGCAGTAGTGAGGCTAAGCCCATACATTTCCACCCGAATGCGAGTGCGCTTGACTATCGACCCTCCGACATCTACACCTCGTCGATATATCGCACCAGCGTGAACCTCTTCCGAACTCTTCGACCAGAGCAGATTCGGACGATTTTTCGACATCGCCACATTCTCATATACGGTATTGAACACGAAGAAGAGTGGGCGTGGACGCGTTCCTCGATGGAACAAATCTGCCCGCTGAACGTATTGGTCAGATGCGAGAGTACGTGTCATATTCACTGACAGTGAATTATTACTCAATAGTGCTTGAAGGTATGGAATGTCGTGAGAATCACGCCGATACGGAACAGAGAACTTGCTGGCGTACCTTGGAACAGGTCTTGCACACCTGGAATAGTCAAGACCGGGGTGAACAACGGACTGTGACCGACGAGATGTTGAACGTTCTCGATCTTCCGTTACCGCGAGGCGAGTTGGAACCCATACCCCGTTGGCGGTGCGTAAACGCCTTGTTTCACTGCTCATACAGGCTCACAGTCTCTCTAGGGCTATAGCGAGCCATATACTCTCGATGCAAGATCTTGATCGCCGGACCGACAACTCAAAGGAAGAGGGGAATGAGAACGCACACACGTCTTGGGCAACCGTTTCCACACCTGGTGTGACCTCGCGCGTTCATTCGGACACCGGCGGCCTCTGTACTGTCTCCATGCCTCTTACAGGAGAGATATACTGGGCAGTGGGGGAACCAAGAGACGACCCGAAAGCCATAGACGTTCAGCAGGGAAGCGTCAGGCAGTACAAGGCCTTCAATGCTGGCCTCATTGACGATCGATATCGTTGGGAAGCGGTATCACTGAACGCTCGGACTGCCTTGTGAGTTTTTCGCCTCTGATCCTTCATCTTGTTCTGATATGACTACCGCAGCTTTATGCGTCCCAATACCCCACACTGGGCCTTGACCCAAGAGGCAGCTATTGTCTACGGACGTCACTTTTATTGTAGCTCCACAATCTTCGACAGCTGTGTCGGTGTTGTTCATTCCCTTCTCGCCGATCGACTCGTCACGAACGCCTCACATCCGGATCTGCTTCCTTTGCTTACTAGTCTTGGCTGCTGGTTCAACACCATCCAGTTCGAGGGACATGAGCCTAGATGTATGTCTTCGGATATTGTTCCTAAACACTCCTCGTCTATCGTTCAAATTCATACTAACAAAGTTATCAGTCGACACCGATATTCCAGAACTGAAGGAGCGTGGCATCCTGTCCTGTATAGCTATTTTTTGGCGCACCCTGGACTGGCGTACCTACAAAGAAAAGGTATGGTCGGAGAAGACCGAACGGTGGGAAATCCAAACCCGCCTCACCTGGAAAACCCAATTCGCACTCCCTTCGACCCATAAAGACGCATCGTTGTTCGCACGTCAAGGTACAGCTCTCTGGGTCATTTACCAATCTGGTATGGGTTATGCTTCCGACGTCTCTGCGGAGCACATCGCCCCGCCAGAGAGCATTGGGACTCTGGGACACACATCTCTTCTCCAACACCTCGCCTGGATCCCTCGCCGGTATCGAATACAGTTTGCACAAATATTTCACTTCGCTCTTGCAGTGTTAGTCGCACGGTTGAACATGGACGAAGTCCCCTTCCAGATAGGAATTGGCCCCTTGAAATATTGGCTCGTCGCTGATCTCAAGAGCTTCGCCGGAGAATACATGGCGGCGTGTTTGGAGCAATGGTTGGATGAGGTGGAGCAGCGTGTGCGGGCAGGCGAGGATATATTTGATACGTTCGACTTGAGAAACGTCACATTTCGGAAGTCCAAGAGGAGAAGAATCCGATTCTCGAAATTTGGCGGGGACACCAAAGGACTTTTCTTTCATGTTGGGGAGGTATATGACAGAAACAAAGGGAAGTACGATATAGCCCTGGACGAGGTCGTGGCGTCTGATTTCGATTGAGGTGCTGAATCCCCCTGCGACTATATAAGGTTGTTGTAAATCTCAGTGTACTATACAATACTTTCCTGATGCTTTGATTCCCTGCTCTCCGCCTTCGCTATCTTTATTCACTGTTTCTATTTCCCTTCATACCCCTCACCGCATATCAATTATATAAATCCGATTTTGCACACCAATGTCCGAGTCGGCGACTGCGTCCTGGAGCGCGAAGAGAACGAATGCCTCCGGCGAAGCATAACAAGTTTGTATTGTTGTTGTAAGCTGCGGCCCCCCACAGACGGGTTTTCCAAGTGTTTGGTGTTTCAATACTTAGTTCACCTTGTGGTGAGTATATCGACATCTCGCTATACCAAGCATCCGAAGGTAAACACGAGTCTCGAGAAGCACTCACCTAGATAGGAACGATAACCTTTTCAAGACTGGCAGGTCGCCTGCGGTTGGTTCCGGGTGGCCAGGAGTCAGGCCCGTACGGGCCGGGAGAGTTGAAGACGTTCGAGCGGAGTATGAAATGGTCGCGATACATTTTATAACCGACAGTGACAAATGCGATAGGCCACGTCTGTCCTCCGAACCATCCTCCACAACACCCCGAGCTCTCAACGCAGAACGCATGTCTGAAAAGAAGACGAAATTCTCCTTACCGGATGGCCTGGCATGGAAAGCTAGGCAATTCGAAGGCAATAGTCCCGTTCAATTAGAAATACAAGGTGCACTGGCTGCCAAAGCTGCCCGGGCCAACCTTAGGACGCGCATGAGAACGCTGCATGCCATACCTATGTTAACCTCCTCTATTGCATCTGAGTCTTCCCTTTCAGGATGGCTTGATTCTTGCAAGTCATATTTCCAGCAAGAGGTACGTCCTGTGTTCATTGGCATTAATGTTGTGTCGACACTGACGCTGACCACTAGCTTTCAAAGCAAGGGCCTACTCACTCTACACCTCCAGACGACACGTTTTTGAAGGTTTGTTTGCCTCAAACTCTTGATGGATGATTAAATAATTTTCCTCCTCCCTCGGTAGTGGTATGCCCAGAAGCTTGATGCTTGGGATTCTGAAGGAATTTTCACGAGCTCGACATCTCTGGGACTGTTATGGGTCATACTGGGACTCAGCCACCAGGTTGACTCCGATCCTGTCACTGTGTACGCTAAAACGAATCCAACCTCCTTTAATCGCGTGGCTCGAGTTTTCTGGGAGCATCTCCTCTTTGACAGACTTGCAAATGTCGCTGGATTCCATAGTAAAGACGCTTCTACGCCCGTCGACCCGGATCCAGCCATGGTTGACTGGATCATCACCAAGAAGGAAGGGGTCCCGAGCGTATGCACTTCGTAATTTTTCCTCTAAATGTGTCCTTCAATATTGACGTTACTTGTTTCTCCACAGCTGTTCAAGCAGTTCCTATTTCAGTGGACGACCTCACTCAACGCTTTGTTTGAGGTAGGCGTACCTGATGCGGGCCAGCCTATCAAGGCTATCGGTCCGAGTGAACCATCCTTTGGAACTGCCCAATCTACATCATCTATCCAGGCGACACAAGCTCGTTCTTTCGCAAGCGTGTTGCCACCCATTGGTCCGCCACCAGAGGCTCAAAGTGTACCCCCTGTCTCCACATCGCTACTCCTGAAATCTGTTGCTCTGGACATCACTGTTTCGACTAAGCTCGCGGTCCACCTCCTGGAGACCGTCCGCGTTCGAGATCAGAGCATGCGTATGCCCAACGTCCTCAATAATTTCGCACTCGCCGGTGCCTCACTCTCACTTATCCTCAATGTGCGTCCAAATATGTTATTTCAACTGTAATCTTATGGACCCATCATATAGAGTCCCTTGGAAATCACGTCCGCAATGGATCTCAACGCAACGCTGAAGTCGTACGCCAATTACTTCTATATCATCGTGCTATGGCAGCTCAAGGGTCTCCTCTATAGACGGATAAAGCAGTTGAATCCATCCGATAAGCCTCACGATACCCAAGCGTTACTTGACTCGCGGGAAAACAATATGGTCGTCCAACCCCTTCTGCTGGCATTGCATGTTTCCCCCCTTCTGTTATTTGGTCCGCCCGCCAGCTGTTCAAATAACCATGCAACGTTCAGCACTCTTTTTGCAGTACGTCGTGATGAGTCCGCTTGACGATATCGATCGCTCACCACCCGTTATAGCTCCGTGTCGCTATGGGAAATCGCTGCAAACCTCCCATCATATCATTTCTTGAGGACGCTGTGTGGCGCGCTATAATCAAGATCTCGATTGGCGTCGCCCCCGAAGTCGCTGTCGACGAGCTCAAGCATATCTACAGATCAGCGGAGACACAATCATCCATCAAACAGGATACAGCCGCCCCGTCTTGGTTCCGAACAATGCAAAGTATGCACGTCTTTACAATGTCAATATGCATACTGACTAACATTGATATCAGTGCATATAGAGCCCGACTCGAAAGTCGAAAGCACGTCAGATGATACATCTACTTTATTGACTGCTGGTGCTAGTGCTGAGGATCCGGACGAAGACATATCAGTTGTGGGCCTGAGGACAAAGTACGAAAACCTCGATCGCAATGCACCGGATTTTGCCAATCGGCTCGACACACTCTTAGCGGCCTTTTTCGACCACGTACCCCAGCCCAAGACCGAACCAGAAGATGATACTTCCCCATCAACAGTTATCAACTCTGAGATGCCTGGTACGTCTCACGATGTTAGTGAGCCTCCACGCGCGTCAGCTACTCCGGGACTTGCCGTACAACCTTTCCCCCTTCGCCCCGGCGAGTCGATCATTGCTACGCAATCCGGCACCCTTCCGACACCGACACTGGCCCCTACTCCCTCAGTATCTTTGCCCCCGCCGTCTGCTATCTCCCCACCTGGAGAGCACCTCACTCAGCAGTACGCCGTTCGTAACCCCCCACGAAGTACAACCGATCCTCGCGATGGGCCCACCTCTAATATGGATTCTAGCGCATCGCCGAGCCCCGGAACTGTCCTGCCCGACGTCAGATCACCATTATTTGAAGACGCGATCCACACTCACACACGTGATGGATCGCTGCACAAGCGCTTACAACAGTCTGTGACACCCTCCGGTATGCCAATTGTCCTTTCCTACTGATGTCCGCATTGCACTCAAATCTCTATATTTCTCAATAGATATGACCGTCGTCTCTTCCTTTTCCGATCCTGATGGAAGTCTTAAACGGATAGATTCCACGTCTACTCAGCCCAAGGATTCCACGTCTACTCAGCCCAAGGATACTCGCAGTAATTCGTGTACGTGGAATTTGCACAAGTACCCTGACCTATAGACATCTCTCATAAGTAGACTTGTAGATCACAACGTAGATCACAATGTTCCTGGCACGCCTGGGTCAGCGCCGAAAGAACGCGAGACCGCCGCGAGGAAGAGCAAAGTAATACTTACATCGGCAATCCCTCCATCGCATACGGGCCTTGCCCAAGATAGTATGTTACGTTATTATCACATAGCGGGCTCGACGCTTTCTGACTGTTATTTAGCTCACGTACCCTCTCCATCGGCATCTCTATCTGAGCTCCCCCGACCAGTCATGCAAAAACCGAAACAACGCGTAGCTTCTCGGTCCTATCAGAATGTGCAGGAAAACGAGGCCGCTAGGATCAGTAGAGAACGCACCGGGAGTAACAGCATACCTACGCAGCCTTTAGAGCATGGTCAACACAGTACGTTCCATCAATTAATTGTGCCCTAATATCGTACAGGCTTGACAGTCGCGCATTAGGTCTAAAACCCACCGCTCGGGTTCCAACATCACGAACCTGTGAACGCAGCGGGGGCTCGAGTAACCGCGCCGCTGCTGCGCCTCCAATTAAGTCTGTACCAGACTGTGCTCAAGATTCTGCAAACGTCAACGGCAGCAGTAGCCAGTATTCTTTGTCTAACGTTTTGCAGGGTATGGCAAAGTCTGCTGTTCGTGAACCTTTGCCACAACACGCATCTTCAGGCGCAGAGCACGAGTCGGTCAAATTCGGCCCTACAGGACCGCCAAACCAAAACATTGTCAGCAATTCTGAATCTACTTCCACAAATGCTGGGCCCTTTCCTTCCCCATCTGAGCACGGGGGCACAGGCTCGTCGTCTGTCCCACCTACTCCATACCCAAGCTTAACACTCTGCGGGGCTCCTGGCGAAGGCTGACTGTAGTCGGTGTTCTTGGCCTGAACCGGATGTGAGAAAATAGGCTGTTGAGGCGAATCTGGGGGCGTGCTTGGCTCGTAATCTACTCGCTCGTCTTCGGAAGCCCACACCTGCGACGGCAGAGTACGAGGCAGAGGATGAGCTGAGCCTTCGGGAGCGGCGCTCGATTCTGTAATACGTCGGGCCACAGTCTTGTCGTCTGTCCCACCTACTCCACAATCAAGCGTAACACTCTGCGAAGCCCCTGGTGAAGTCTGATTGTGGTCGGTGCTATTGGCCGGATGTGAGACGATAAGCTGTTGAGGCGGATCTGGGGGCGTGCTTGGCCCGTAATCTACTCGCTCGTCTTCGGATTCGCGCACCCGCGACGGCAGATTGAGAGGGAGGGGATGGGCTGAGACGTCGGGAGCAGTGCGCGAACCTGTGGCGCCTTGAGGTTGGTCGTCTTTCTCGCAACGTGCCACAGGATCGGGCGCTCCCGAAGGCTCAGCTCATCCTCTACTTCGTAATCTGCCGCCGCAGGTGTGCGAATCCGAAGACAATCACATAGATTCACAACATGCCACACCCTCGAAATCTGTTGATCCTAACTCACGTCGGTCTTCACCAGGCGTTTTGCAGAACGACAACTTAGGTCCTGTATCAATTGAGGCCGTCGGAAAGCCAGTGTCTCAAGGTCCGGACGTTTCTCCGACCTCCGCTTTGCAAGCTTCACCGCAACATGCTTGTGTAAGCGTGAGTGAGTCCGCCGAATCTGGACCTAGTGTCCCTTCGGATATTCGTCATCCGAACCTTGGTGCAGGTGCCACGTCCGACGACCAACAACTCGCCAAATCATTCACGAATGCTTTCCAGGATCCTGGGGCCAACGCAGGGGAAGTGGAGGTACAGATTGATCCAGAGCGCAACCCTTCAAAGTCTTCGCCAATGGTAGTCCATGAGGTTGGTGGAGACGTTAATTCTGCCTCCCAGGAGTCAACAATCGAAGGCAGCATCGTCCCAGAGCACCATAGTACTGAAGGTTCCTGACGCTCCTCATTACTTCTTGCCCTTACATGTACTTATACTGAGCTTCACCCTCTTCCCTACAGATGCCCCTCGGCTCGAACTTATTCTTTCCAAGATTCGTATGGTCGAGTCAATATTGCTCCAAGTTACTGGTCATACGGATGGACTGGAAGAGGTACATGTCCACTCGATCGTTGTTGTATCATGTTGCGTCGACTTATGCATCCGGTACTCCATCTAGGTATACGCTAGCTTCGACGGGATACTCTTGGAAATGGAAGGGAAGACCATCCTTACGAACGAAGAAGTAGAAGTAATAGTTTCCTCACGTTCACTCTGGCTCCGTGCTTACCATCACCTGCAACTATTGCTGGTACAGGACAATCTCCTTTTACACCGGCTGAAGACCCTTTCCTTCAGTAAACTTATCGATCAGGCCACGGAGACTCGATTCCAATTCCGTGACAGAGCAGCTCGGCTTCATGAGCGCTGGCCAGACGTTGTCGAGTCCGCTCGCGCAGCAATCACACTTAGCCAAGATGATATTGACTCCCAGAAAGACAATATGAACGTCGATGTCGACCCGACGTGGGGTCTCATTGATACTGTTCCAGGATTTGAACCCGATGTTTTCGAGTTTGACTCTCTGATAGTTGACGGAAGGGACGTACTAACATCATGTGAGTTCTCTGCTGATGTTTCTTGCTGGCCTTCTTGGCTTGACATAAATGTTAGTGGCGATCGATGATTCTATGTCAGTGGATGAAGACTTCGAGGTCGGCGGCACCAGCCCCGACGGCTCTACCACTAACTCCCCCGACTCTGGTTGCGATGACCACGTTGAGCAAGGTTCCCAAGATGACAACGTTGAAGGTACAACATCCGACGAGGAGCCATTGCTTATTGTTGGTCAAGGATCTGTGATCGCACGATGTGAGTGCTTTTGCATTCTGTGTTCTCACCAATCTGCTCAGTTACTTCCAACGCCAGCGGAAGTGGTAGACGAGGCAAGCGACGGACTTGCGGACAAAGGGAACGTGCCGTCCAAACATCGTAAGTAAATATGAAAGCTACACTTCTAGATATTCAACTTGGGCATGACGGTTACTTTAGCACGGGACCCATACAACTTGCGTGCCTCGAAACCTATCAATTACAAAGAGACAGCCGTCGAAAGCGGAGCACGCAAGCGAACGAATGCGGTAGGTTACGGTGAATGGTTATCACTCTGACCATAGTACTCAAAGTCATTCGCGTAGGGGGAATTGCAAGCCAGGGACAACAAGCGGCAGGTAGAACCTCTCTCTCAAGTTCCATCCATGCCCATGCTGACATTTTGCAGTGTATCAAATTACTCGGTGCAGGAGACCAGGAAGTGTCAACAGTGGACAGCGGCTGCGGAGACCGCCCTCAAAAGGCGGTAGCGGTTGTTGTACGTGGAAAGGGAGTTTCAAAAGCAACTGGGATAGGGCGCTACACCCGTTACAACGTTTTTGACGGATCCTCAAAAGAGGTGGAGTTTGAGCCACACCCGAACTGCGTAGGGGAGACCCGTATGTTTGTCTTCTGTCCCAGCTGACCTTGATAATTACAGGCGGACCTTGAGCTGAAGATGTTTAATGCTATCTGGAGCCAAATGAATGACCCCAAGACCGGCTCAATTCTCGACTGCAACGGCACAGGGAAACTTCCCCTTCATCTCCATCCGAATGCCTCGCTAGTTAATGCCCCTCTCTCGGACCCCATGACGTCAAGCATATTCAGGGTATCGTTTGAGAAGTTTTTTTCCCTCTCTGGGGAAGAAATACAAACTATATTCCGCGATCGCCACATATTGGTGTACGACGTCCCACACGGGCAGCAGTGGGGATGGAATGAGGCGTCATTGGAAGAGCTCCACCCGGTTCACATACCACTGCCGCTTCAGGGTGCGTATATACATGCATAGCTGAGTATTTCCTCAACTGATCTTGCAAGCAGATATGAGTCTCAGAGACGTCGACATGGAGCATACTCAGCGACATGCCGAGACATATACTCTCCGTGACCTGCTGCACTCCGCTGAACCCCCAGTGCCCGGCGCTTGGACTAAGAATGGTCTTATGTTCAACGCTCTCGACCTACCAAAGCAACGTGATCAATTAGAACGCGTACCTAGGTTAAGGTGATGCCCTCCCTCAAATTGTACGGGTGCCTTTCTCATTTACGCCTAGGGATGTGGCCTGCGATGTCCGCTCGATGGAGACCTTTGACAGCAAGGTGGAAGCTGGGCAGGACACCTACGTCGCCAACGCCCACACTTCGTGGGCCATTGCTAGCACCCCTGGTGTGGTCTCGCGAGTTCATATCGACACTTCTGGTCTCGCAACCGTCTCGTTGACTCTGACCGGCGAGAAGTTTTGGGTGGTTGGCACACCGCTGCCACAATATGCGGCTGAGCTGGCTGATGACAACGTTGAGCTATTTTTGAAATTTGACGATGCTACGATCGACCCTCGGTACCGATGGGAGGGAGTGTCACTTTCCAAGCACACAGCTCTGTAAGTCCGTCATCGTGCTCGTGGCTCATGTCCTGCTAACCACACCACGCAGTTTCATGCGTCCGAATACACCGCACTGGGTATTGACCCAAGAGCCCTCCATCGTTTATGGGCGTCATCTCTATTGCTCTTCGCTCTTACGTCAAAGCTGCTGTGGGGTCGTTCATTCGCTGCTGGCCGACAACCTGGTTACGAACACGTCGCATCCGGAATTGGTGGCCCATCTGGCCAGTCTAAGTGTCTGGTATAACGACATGTTGTTTGGTGGCGCTCACAGCTCCTGTACGTTCATCACTACAAATTGATGGAACGCTACTTATCGACCTCTAGACAGATCTCGTTTGCCGCGTAGCTGTAGTACGGGGGGCTTGCTCTGGTGTATGGCCATCTTCTGGCGCGCATTGAATCCCCGTTCATACAAGTACAGTGATGTTGGCGGCCAGAAACTGCGTTCCGATCCTGGCTACGATCAAGAGCACTCCTTCTCTCCGGGAACATCGTCGCATCATGA